CTAAACTCTAAACCCTAAACCCTAAACCCTAAACCCTAGCCGTGAAATCTCTCCTCAAAGCCTATTTTTTAAATATAAACCCTCAACCCCAACCCCTGACCTGCAGGTGTTTATTTCCACCATGCTGCCAGGGCTGCTTGGGTATGAAAGCTGATATTTGGGGTTTAGGGTTTAGGGTTTAGGGTTTAGGGTTTAGGGTTTGGGGCTGGTGGACGTAGGCCTTCCAATGTGGGGGACGAGCTGAATTCATTTCCGCAAGAGGAGAGCAGCAACAGCTCGGAACCTCCCGCTCTAAACCCTAGACCCTCAAGCCCTGAATCCCCAAACCCTAAACCCTCAAACCCTAAACCCTCAAACCCTAAACCCTCAAACCCTAAACCCTCGAATGAGACACAAAATGGAGACTGCCCCTTAAGGGCTCTTGCTGAACTCGCCAGTATAGTTCGGAGACAGTTGGGGACTCTGAAGGAAAACAAGACTCCCGAGAGTTTTGCTGAGGTCCTAAACCCTAAACCCTAAACCCTAAACCCTAAACCCTAAACCCTAAACCCTAGTGCAAGGGAAGCGCTGCTTAGTTGTAGCGTCCAGCTTCGAAAATGCCTTTGAAGGCGCCAGCAGCTTATCTGCTGCTGCGTCGCTTCGCCTCTACACTTAGGGTTTAGGGTTTAGGGTTTAGGGTTTAGGGTTTGGGTTTTCAGAATCAGGAAGGCGTCCACTCCCCTTCAATCACACAAGACCTGCAGCTAGTTGGAGGAGCAGCAGAGGCCCTCTGCTGCCTCCTCACAAATTACAGAGGGGCCCCCTCAGGGGGCCCCCCTGGGGGCCCCTCTGGGGCCCCCTATGGAGCTGTTTCTGGGGGCCCCTTCGGGGGTCTCTCTGAAGACCCATTTGGGGGCCCCTTTGAGGGCCCCCCGGGGGGCCCCCCGGGGGGCCCCTCTGAGGGCCCCTTTGGGGGCCCCTCTGGGGGGCCCCCAAGGGGCCCCTTGAGGGGCCCCGAAGGGAAAGTGTGGGGCCCCACAAGGCCGCTGCTGCCAGATGGTACCCGATCGGTTTTGCAGAGCGAGCGGCAGCAAAGATGTAACCTCTAAACCCTAAACCCTAAACCCTAAACCCTAAACCCTACAACCTCGAGTTTAAGCTCTAGGGCTTTGGCATCGCGGCCCTACCAGCAGCAGCAGCAGCAGCAGCAGCAGCAATTTCTCTGGTTTATGCTTTTAGGGTCTAGGGGCCCCTCGAGGCCCCCCAGCCGCTGCAGCCCCACAGACAGCAGCAAAATGTGTGGGGTCTGGAGACGACGATCCCACAGCAGCAAAAAGGATCCCTGGGGGTACTGGGGGCCCCGGTGGGGGCCCCCCGGCGGAGCAAATGCAGGCGAGGAGCTACGCATAGACTGCTAGGGTTTAGGGTTTAGGGTTTAGGGTTTGGGGCCTGGGGTTTGGTTAGAGCGAAAAAACCGGCTGAAAGCGACTTCCCTGTCCGATGCAAAGTTCTACCCCTACACCCTAAACCCTAAACCCTAGACCCTAAACCCTAAACCCTAAACCCTAAACCCTTGGCCTTGCTTGTGCTGCTGCGGATCCAGACGATCCCGGGGATCGTGTGGGGAGCTGCAACTGGGGATCGTCTCCCCGCTGCTGCAGCAGTAAATCCTGGGGGGCCCCCGGGGGCCCCCAAACCCCACACTGTGCCTACAAGTCTGCTGCAGTGTGGGGCCCCCCAGCCCGCAGGGGCCCCCCAGGAGAGGGGGGGCCCCCGCCGCTG